GTTAAGCGCCTACCCCCTAGAGAAATTGCACCAGGGGAGTAGAGGTTTCAAAGGACTACTTAAGTTGACCTTTGTACGGTGTAGGTAACCCTAAGGATAATAAAGGTTATTTGTGGTTTGTTTGGACTGGACTGTATTGGAATCCCTGTTGTGTTATAGGCTAAGGGGTACATGTTTAATTGTAACCATGTCTTCCAGGCCTGTAAACCTTCCACATGTGGGGATAGGCCAATGCTTATACCCTGATAATTGAGGAGTTCTAGCCTTGTGCTAAAATTTGTTTCTGCCTTCACGGATGGGAACCTAAAGTCTTCTGAAGTCATAGACGTGTCATCACACATTTTACATATTCTACCACTTTAGTACATCGAAACGATACAACTCAGTGAAAATGAAGAGACGGTTTGTTATCTACTTATATGAAATTTCATCTATGTAGTTTGCAAAGCACAATGGATCCATAAATCCATCAAAACAACTGCCAAAATATGAATTGCAAAGTTTGCAACAGGGTGTCTGTGATAGTGATACACCATAAGTGATGAACCTGTAACATTAGTTGCAATGCATAACCTAATACAGGCTGTATTTTTTAGAATGGACTGGGCATGTACTGCATCGTGCTGAACTTTTGCATATCTCATCCACTAAACCAATGACATTCAAATGAGCTACTTACAAGGCAATCCCAACAGATTCATCACAAGAGCTTGCTTGAAGCCCCCTAAATCAACTAGATCAGAATAAATAAATATCATGATAGAAATTAAAATGAAAAAAATTGAAAGGAAAATTTGACTACCTGAACTAGAAATTGAAAACATGCCAGTGAAAAAGGAAGCTTGATGAATTTAATTTAACTTCCAAATCTTGCATGCCCTTTCTTATATCTTCATCATTAATAACTTGGCAGGTGAGGTATCTCACAGAGAAAAAAAATATTTCATGATATAAATTTTACAGGAGGCAGTCTGTTTGAACCAAGAACTCTAGCCTTTAGGTTCTACAGAACTGAGTAACCGGATCTCTACGTGGTGTAAACGACCCTTTATGTAAAAAAGACAGAAGAAGTTCCTCCTCTACCTCCCTTCCTTCCTCCTCGTAGCTCCCAGTCTAAGTAACGCACTGTTATGTCAAAATTCTTCCTCTCCAAGACACTCCAGTTCAGGTCAGCTTATGAATTCCTTCTTCTTGCTCACTGTTTTCTTCACATGTGAATATGATAATGAGTAACATATCTAGGTCTATTGCGTGACAATACAGAAAATTCTTCCTCTCCAAGACACTCCAGTTCAGGTCAGCTTATGAATTCCTTCTTCTTGCTCACTGTTTTCTTCACATGTGAATATGATAATGAGTAACATATCTAGGTCTTACCTTAAAAAAATAAAAAGTAAGGGGAGTTTTTACAGATGCATTGGCTTACCATTAACTCAGACTGAAATACAAGCATGGTGAAGGTACACTTGCAAAAGCTTAGTTTCAGTTATGCAATTTTTATTACAGGTAAATAAGGTAATACATTGGTTATGTTGTGATGATTGCAAATGGCAAAGTCTACTGTTATTATAAAGTATAGAGTGCATGGATCAAACTTTCATTCTAGGCCTATATATATTAATATTAAAATATAGGGAAAACATTGAGTTCTCTTGGCTCTCAGCCTTCACTGCACAGACAAAAAAGTTTTCCTGCTCATGTAGGTGTAGAGAAGGAGATGGAGAAGAAGGAGGAGGGAGGAACCAAAGAGGAAAGTAAAGAAGAGAAAGATAATATAGAAGGAAAGCCCAAAGTCCCACCTTTGAAAATTGTCCTGCCACAATCGCAGAATTCTCCCATTGAGCATGGAGATTCTAAGGCTTATGTTGTTTCCAAAGAGAAAGAAAAAGAGACCCAGGAAGAAGCTGTGAAGGAAGAGAATGTGAAAGAAGAATCCAGGGCATTCCCTGCCCATGATGGCAGCCATGATTGTGCTGGAATGAGCCATTCCCCAACAGAAGAGAAAGTAACATTAGATGTGACATTTCATCCCCGGAAACGAAAGTTGAAGGCCCGGGATGATCACCCACTTCCATCATCTTTCCCCCGTACCATTGATCAACCATACATGAACAGTTATAAGATGTTTATGGACATTCATGCACAAATTAGACAAAGAAGAAAACAGTCAATTCCAGTCCAGCCTAAGCCTCCTCAGGGCTTTAAGGACTATTTGATGAACAAGTGTACATATGTGTTGGCAGGGAACCCACAATCTCGACTTGCAATCCCACTTATCTCTCCGCCTCAATCTCTCCAGGGTCCCATGAAAGACTTGTTTACTGAACAAGAGAAAGAACGATACCGCTTGAGAATGCATCACCTCATTGAAAAGGAGAAATTGGTTGTTGCCAAAGAGCAGGAAATTCTTCGAGTGCATGGCCAGGCTGCTCGANCACTGCACAGACAAAAAAGTTTTCCTGCTCATGTAGGTGTAGAGAAGGAGATGGAGAAGAAGGAGGAGGGAGGAACCAAAGAGGAAAGTAAAGAAGAGAAAGATAATATAGAAGGAAAGCCCAAAGTCCCACCTTTGAAAATTGTCCTGCCACAATCACAGAATTCTCCCACTGAGCATGGAGATTCCAAGGCTTATGTTGTTTCCAAAGAGAAAGAAAAAGAGACCCAGGAAGAAGCTGTGAAGGAAGAGAATGTGAAAGAAGAATCCAGGGCATTCCCTGCCCATGATGGCAGCCATGATTGTGCTGGAATGAGCCATTCCCCAACAGAAGAGAAAGTAACATTAGATGTGACATTTCATCCCCGGAAACGAAAGTTGAAGGCCCGGGATGATCACCCACTTCCATCATCTTTCCCCCGTACCATTGATCAACCATACATGAACAGTTATAAGATGTTTATGGACATTCATGCACAAATTAGACAAAGAAGAAAACAGTCAATTCCAGTCCAGCCTAAGCCTCCTCAGGGCTTTAAGGACTATTTGATGAACAAGTGTACATATGTGTTGGCGGGGAACCCACAATCTCGACTTGCAATCCCACTTATCTCTCCGCCTCAATCTCTCCAGGGTCCCATGAAAGACTTGTTTACTGAACAAGAGAAAGAACGATACCGCTTGAGAATGCATCACCTCATTGAAAAGGAGAAATTGGTTGTTGCCAAAGAGCAGGAAATTCTTCGAGTGCATGGCCAGGCTGCTCGAGCATTGGCCAATCAAGTGCAGCCATTCAGTGCCTGTACTTTTCTTCGTGACAAAGATATCTATACTCCCCTGAATCCAGACCAGGATGAGAAAGATAGAAACACTCGTTCTCGTTACAATGGCAGGCTTTTCCTATCCTGGCTCCAAGATGTTGATGACAAGTGGGAGAAGATCAAAGAAAACATGTGTCTCCGCCATCACAATGAAGCTGAATCTTTGAATGCTGTCCAGAAGATGGAATGGGAATGGAAATTGAAGGAACTGGTTCTCCCTGAACCTGTTGCAGATGAGCTTCATGTTCCCATGGTGTATGTCAGCGATGATTTTGATCTCTTTCCTGCATAACTTCTCTACAGGTTCCAGTGAAACTTGCATCAGCTGAGGGAATGAATTGCTATTCTTACACCGATCGTCTGTTGCATCTATATTGATGCATGCTTTAAAGTGAAAATTTTCTGCTCTCCATTTGGAGATATCTCATCCTCAACATGACTCTTTGTATCATATTTAAAGAAAGGTTAGCCTCTGTCACATTTGTCTCAGGTGTGTCTTTCCACTTTGATTTCACTGTGTTATGTCTCATAGTGAGAACATCCATTTTGTGGAATTTCATGTATTATTGGACTTAAGTTGCATAAGTAAAGCTGGTTTTCTCTGGAGGAGTTCTCTATGAATTTTAACCTTTATTAGTGGAACAAACATTACCTTTCAGTTGTTTCAACCTGAAACAACTGAAACACAGCACTTTGAACATGAGATACATTATGGTGAAGTCAATGAACTCATTCCTTTAGCATTGAATCCTCCCTTTTTCTAAACTTCAGTCAAACTTATGGGACACTGTGGTTCAGTATGAATCACATGTGCTGTAAAATTACTGTGACCCTTCATGACTTGCACACAGCTCATGCCTTACTTTTCAATTGTTAATATATATTGGCATTCCCTGTCATTTGCTGGCTATTGAGAATTTGTTTTGATGTCTAGCCAATGATTCCTATCTAATATTGAAGTTGCTTCTCAGTCCTAATGCAGCAGAAAACTGTTGGTCTCCTCCCTGGTACATCGCCAGCACTGGAGAGCAGAACCACAGGTAGGCTATTCTTTGAAAGATGTTGAATGTTGGCTGTAAGAAATAGTACACAGTGCAAGATTCATCATGAGGAGTCTCATCATGAACTTTCCTAAAAGTAGAATAATTATTAAACTCAGTCCCCCTTATTATTACTCAATCTGCTCAATCTCAAATTATTCATTCATTGTGCTTTTCTGAGATCCTGATTTTTTTAAATTGGTAAAGTGATTATTTTTTCATGGAAAGCACAGTGAATTGTCTAATTGGCCAGCCTGATGATTATTCTGATGGTGGTAGATGTACCAAGTATAGCCTTGTCCCTTGTTTTGGTAACTATATTGAAGGAAAAACCAGGGAGTTCCATGAGTGGGTGAAGGCTGTGTGGGCTCACATGTTGAAAGGGATGCTGTCTCTCTTCATAATGATGATGACACTAATGATTACTTTGAAATAGAGTTTTCTGAAGGGTTAGACCTTGTGCTATCTAGCTAAAGGCTCACCATCTTTGATAGCTGATAATGTGGGTTTTTGTAGAAACTGCTGCTTTTCCTTTTGCATGAGTATCTCTTTTGTCGAGATTCATCCTATTGAATAGCAGTACTCATGTTGCTGCCTATATCTGCTTTCCCTGAGATCAGCTTCGAGGGACTTCATTTCCATATTAGTTCCTCTTCAGTAACTTAAAAATAGGATAAAATATGATATACAAGAGCAGATATACACAGATATACAAGAACCCTATCATGGATCTACTTGCACTTGTTTAATAATTATAGATATTTTAGCTTGAAAAAGAAAAGGCCAGAGTCTAGCAAGCATGGGGGTAATGACAAGGAAGAAATAACACACCCCCTCAAGATTTTCCATTTGATTGTGCTCAAAAACAGATATAACAAGTGATCTGAAATTGACAAAATATTGGTAATGGCCTCTGTAATCTTCAGTTCTTAAGGTCTGCTGGGGATATTGAGAAGAGTTTGGTCTTTCCATTAAGCGAGTGAGGATATAGTCATTGACCTTCCTGTCCCAAGAAGGAAGATGGATCAGAGAATAAAATTTGTTGGCTGTGCCCTGGGCATCTTCACCTGCTACTTCTACTATGGTGTCCTGCAAGAGCGAATGTGAGCATTCCTGACAGAAATCTTGCATAGGTATTATTAAAGCAATATGTGCAATGTATGCTATCTCTGTGGCAGAACCAGAGGTTCCTATGGAAGTGAGCGATTCACATACACCCTGAGTTTGGTTTGGACTCAATGTGTCATCAACTGCATTTTTGCTCGGCTCCGTGAGTTCTGCTCTAATCAACCCTGAATCTCGCTGGAACCCTTCAGCAGTATCAAACACTGCCTTGTTGAGTTATTTCAAGGTTCTTGTTAAAGAGTTTGAGTTTGGGATGTCCAGTTACTTCTATCCATATTGACATCTTGAGTCAGTATGGATGACAATCACTGTGGTATACTTAACATGAATGGTTGAGTGTCAAGCAATGCATGTGGGGAGGGAGATACATTACTGTCTGATCAAGCAAGGAAGCCTTCCTTGGGAGCCAGGAAGTTACAAGAGGAGATGATCAATTGATGGGAATGAGTTAATATTTATTCAAACTCCAACTAAATACTTGCTGCTGGATGACTTGAATCCAGTATCAAGCCAAAACCCTGTCTACTACTACATTGTTAATCACTGGGGATGCCAGTTTGGTCAATTATTTGGTTAAAATAATTGTTTTAATTGATTAATTTATTAACCCTTTCAATAGTATGCCTGAGAAATTCTCGGGCTTCTCTCTTAGCATGTCAGAAACCTGTCACTGAAGGAGTTAGCCTCCTAATGACAATTTAAGATGAAGTTTCACATTCCCCCCTTGAATGGATTCAAACTTGGCTGGGTGGTGGATTGATTTTTCTGTTCCAGTACTAGTGAGGCATAAAAATATCCAAAAGGTTCTCATGATATCATGCCATCTGGCTTTTCTTTGCCAAATTAATAATGGAAACTGTGGGATAATTAAATTTAGTTTTCAGGTGTTCATTAACCCCTTAACTGGCATCCCTGAAAACTTCTTGGGGTGGCAACAGCAGCAACTCCAAGAATTTTTTTTGAGTGTATTGGTTAAGGAAGTGATTTGCCAACTCTCCATAGATTGCTCTCCTTAGATTGTTCTTTTATGTTCCTATATAAAACAAAGAATGTAAACCCAAGCATGTTGTGAAAAAACCTGCAGGTAGGGGGTGGCACCATGTCTGTAAACCTGCCTGTGAAGGGGTTAATTCCACTGCTCACAATTATTCAGGCTTGAAGATTTAAATAATGAGCTACTTGACCTATCACTGTGTCCCTGACTGAGAGAGAACAGGCAAAGCAAAATTCCTGCTAGTATTTCCATTTCCCTGTTTTACCATAATATCTTTATCTTTCATGTTGATTTTGTACTAGTAAAGCAGTGAGGAGAGAGATAAGAAGACATGCCTATCCTTTTTATTTTGTTGCCTATCTTTCTGTGATGTGTTTTGATATATCTTCCTTCTGTCTCCTTCAAAATATCTTTCTTATCCATGAATGACCTTGAGTCTACCTATTTATTTATTCCCTGTAGAAAGCATTTACAGACTGGATATGATGCTTCTCAGGTTACTCTTCGGGCTAAGTCAAAGGGAGATGGTCTTCCATTTCAGGTATCCTATTACCTGCTACAATACTTCAATTTTCAGTTGGGTTCTTGACTGATGATAGATCTGAATTTTCTTGCTGTCTGTTGCCATTTTTATGATGAGGCAGTTCATGCATGCAATAAACCTTTCTTTTTTTGCTTGTTAGATATAATCTGTTTTTGGAATCTTTCAGTTATGTCGACTGTCATGCCTCAGGGAGAGGACAAAACCAGGAAATTCTACTATGCTGCTTCATCCCTCACATATCTTCTTGCCATGGTCTGCAGCAATATGGCCTTACAGTGGGTCAACTACCCTACTCAGGTAAGCAGGCAAATGTTCATTTCCACATTTTGTCTTTTGCTTTCTGGACCCACAATGCCTCCCAGACAAACAGTTGAACTGTCTCTGTCTTTTGCACAGTTGCTATGATCCTTTGTTCACAGTCTGAGGACCCTTTTTCATAGGTGATAGGAAAGTCATGCAAGCCCATACCTGTGATGGTTCTGGGAGTCCTGCTTGGAAGGAAGCAGTATTCCTTGCAGAAGTACTTTTTTGTACTTCTCATAGTCATTGGAGTTGCCTTGTTCATCTATAAGGAAGGAGGTGGGAAATCTCTGGATGGAGTTGGCAATGCCTTTGAAATCACTGGGGAACTCCTTCTTGTGAGTGTTCATTCCTATCTTAATTACTCCTCTGCTAGAACTTACAGTAGACTCTTAATTCATGGTTTTTCTGCTTTTTTTCCCCCATTCTTTTTAGTTAATGAGCCTGACCATGGATGGATGCACTGGAGCTGTCCAGGAGAGGATGAGAGGGGAATACAAAACAAAATCCATGCACATGATGTATTCCATGAATCTCTATGGCATTGGCTACCTCTCCATAAGCAAGTTTGCCTTTCTAAATCTGAGGAGCAGTGGATATTCCCTGTGAAGAAGATCTATTTGAACTTGCAAAATTTTTCCATAAACCTGTTAATGATGGTTTGATGGCATTTTTGTTCATTTTGAAAAGGATATTATAGCAAATCCCCTGAATTCTCATTGTAATGTACTCAAACTCTATTCAATTTTTAATTTATACCCTGAAATGACTTCATATCCTCACTAGAAGTCATTTGGTTTGGCTGCATCAGTTTGTTCATTTACTTTAATGTGAGACTGTATAAGTATCAGATATACATCAACTGCTTGCTTTTCATTTTTCTGCACAACAGTTTAATCAATAACTAATAGGTTTGAATGTCAAATATCTATGTTGGAATGTTTTTGATAAATTCACAGTATGGAAGTTGATGTTCACCATTGGGCATGATCATAGAATTGTTCATGGAAGTGCTTTTTTTGTATGACAGCATTGCTCCTGACTGGTGAAGTGTTTTTGTTCCTCGGTTTTGTGGATCGCCACTCATCAGTTGTGTGGGATATTCTCCTTTTCTCAATCATGTCAGCCCTTGGACAGGTCTGTTTAAAATACTCATGTCTCACCTCCCTTGCTTGGTAAGTGGAGAAACAAATCTCACCACTCTTCAATGGCATTATCTCTTCCAGCTTTTTATCTTTGTGAGTGTGGCAGACTTTGGACCTTTGCCCTGCTCAATCATAACAACCACACGAAAGTTCTTCACAGTCCTTGGCTCAGTCGTCATCTTTGGGAATAGACTCATTCCTCGACAGTGGCTCGGCACATGCCTTGTCTTTTCTGGTCTGTCTTTTAGTTTCATTTGCTTTGAAAACTTTGTTCAAAGGGAACAGATATACTATCTTCTAAAAGGATATATTTAAAAAAAAGCATGAAATCAAAGAGATGCAAAGAGAAATGCAAATTTATTAGAACCATCTGACTAAAAATTTATTTCTAGTGCCAAGAGTGAAAAGCCATTAGTTGATGTCTGAGGGTGATATGTCTGTTTTATTTATAGCCGTCATAAAGGCTCTGATAAAGTCCTCTTCAAGAATTAAAAAATTATTGTTGCCTACTTGTGAAAGTACAAGAATGATTTCTCATACCTGCCACTGAAGAGAAATATCTGCCTCTCCCAATATATTTTTATTTCCTTTGAGAAAAGCTTTACCTTCTAATGAAGTTCAAGAGAAAAAAAAGCAAGGAAATGGATCAGAATCATTTGTGATCCACTTGCTGAGTCATAGTAAATATGTTAAGTTTGTTATGTCCAAACATGCCTTTGCTGATTAATGCAGGCTAATTCATTTTGAAACTCTTTTGCTGGCCAGGTTTGAATGTTTGATAAACTAGGAATTTTTTGTTGGAATTGTTCACTTTCTCTGGTTAGCAAACAATACTCTCAGCTAACATTTGAATGTTTCAGAATCAGTAGAATATTGCTTTTCTTGTTGAGAAGACATAATCCCAACTTGGATTTGCTTCCCACTTTAACAAATGGCATTCAACTGCATCAGTCCAGACTCAAGCCTGAGCTTCACTTCAGGATCGTTTAAGTCTAGGCCTATAGTAAACAATCTAAATTGACAATGCGACAAAGCATCGCATTCTTCATGTCTTGTTATGGGCAACCCTCATGGATGTCACTGTACAGTCTCCCATGTTTGTTTGGTTTACTATCAATGTTTCCCAAACAAGTGTGCTCAAGGGTGCTGTTGAAGCACATTATTAGACCTGAAGCTGAATGAAAAATATTGAATTTGTTCCATTTCTGACAGGTTTATTGCTGGATGCCTTCTATGGGAATGGGAAGGGAAAGAAAACTGGATCTTCACCACCTTCACTGGTTGGCAAGGCACATTTGTGACCCATTGCTAGCCTATTTTTATTATTCTGTTGATCTCTCCTGCAAACTTTCTTAACGCACATTGTCTTTGTTGGTGCTTGTTGGGTGAGAGTTTATTTAAGTATGTCTGCATGGTATGTGCTGAAATTTTCTAAAAGATATTTATGTTATGGGTTATAAGGTGAGATGTGTTGAACGAAACCAGGAATGATAATTTAAGTAAAAATGAAATTTTAAAATTCAACTGTGAAATTAAGTTCTTGACTGAAAAAAATATCATGAAAAATTATATGGAATCAAAGGGTAATAAGTACACTTTCCAGTTTTCAATGGGATGATTGTAATGACAGACATCATGTGAAGAAAATGTTTCTATGGTGTTTGAATATTTAAAATAAAAATTACTGTACCTTTTTGCTTCACATTCATCAGTGTTCTATCAGGGTTAGGAATTTCAGACTGTACTTTGAACCAATTCACTGCTGACAAAACATCCTATCTCTTGCTTTTGACAAATGTGCATCATCGGCAATGAACAGCTTTATTTTCTGAAATCATCTTCATTGTATGGAATACTTATGGATTCTGTTTCTCATATTTATTCTCAAGCTGGAAGAGTATTCAGTAAGTACATTATCTCAGAAACGCTAATGAATCCTTCCTCCTTGCCATTTGGAGCAAAACTATCAACCCATTGTTAAGAGCATGCATCCACAACATGATCATCAGTGAGCATTGTTGCACATGCTATTGGGGACTTATGCATGTTCGTAATTTCAGCTGCTATTCAAATGCTACTTGGCTGACTCATTTGCAGAGGTTATAGCATCATGAAATTAAATTTAAAAAAGAGGTGAGCAGATTCACAACTTCCATCAGAGTGGGCATCAGGCCCAAGACCAGTTTTCCATGGATGTCAGCGTGTAAAGCTGAACTCAGGCCATCATTTCTATTCTGTTGGAACAAGTCATGTCCCTCACACTTCTGTAGCAGCAGGGGATGTTGAAGAGGCCAAGCAGCCACCAGTTGTCAGTCATGAATACTGAGCATGCACTTATTATAAGCCTTTGCTTCAATACAGTTCTTTATTTCATATTTTTCTATTCCATATATGCACTTTTCTTTATGGAAAGTGTGTATTTTTTGTGTTTACCTAAAATATTAGTCCAATGATTGAAGGGCTATTTTCATATTCCATGCATATTCCCAAATGCATTGTTCTTCAATAATAATAAAAAATATGGGATATTTTTTATTACCAGTTTTATGACTTGTACATAAAATACAAGACAGTAGAGAAGGTGAGTGGAGCTCACCCTTGGAGGCACAAAGCATGTCATTCCTCTGCTCTCTCTTGCTTTGGTCTCATAAACCCTGCAACCCCTCAACCCTCATAACCTCTCAATGGGCCAACTACCAACCACATATTCATTGCTTTTTATGTTGTGCCTCTTCTTGTTTCACATTGAAATGAAAGAATTCCTTGGATAGTTTTACCAAGTGTCAGGACTTCCTTCTCATACTGTAAGGCATGATTTCTGAATGTGATCCATAGGTTTTGCTTACTTTTCACCTGTACACTCTTTACAATCATGAAATGTAATGGGTTTCAATGCCCAAAAATCTGGTGTGAGACCTCATGGGAATATCCAATAATCCCTGTAATCCATAACATATAGGGAATAATAAACAGAACAAACTTGAAATAACCTTGGAGAAGCACAGCCCCTTTTTCTCATTCTTGTTTACTTCCCCCCCTCTGTCGTAAAATGTGTCACTGAATATTATCCCATAACTAAGAACATTTTACATATAATGACAGATTCTGTATATTCTTAAGAAGCTACTATTCGAGCTTTCAGCTTATTCTTTTTCTAAGTGAAAGCAAGTGAAGTTTGGTTCCATTTTTATTTATTTGTGATGTGGTGTCATGCCACAATATAAAATTTAATAATGATGTAGCTGTAGAGCCAAATGTGGGCATGTTGCATATGGAGAGTTTTTATGGTATATTGAAAAATAATGTTAAATGAGGATGTAATGCTTTGCATGCAGTGGAAACTTGCAAACTATTTTGCTTGCCTTTCTGTTTTACAAGGATCATAAGGATATAAGGATTTTTTCGGATCGGTGGTGTGCTCCGAGTCAGCCGAGGAAGTGTCGGCGGTCCTTCACGTAGGGACTAACGATACTCCCAAGTCTGGCTCTGAACTCATCATGGGCAGGCTGAGACGAAGCAAAATAGCGCACTTCCCGACTAATTCAGTGCACCTTCGTACTTGAACTGTCCCAGTACTCTCGCAGTTCCACGAGTCTTTGCACCGAGGAGACGAATAACATAGGGTGGGGGGGGGCAATGTTGACGTTAGGTACTAGACAGTAAGCAACTAGGATAATCAAAAAACAAAACAATACAAACATATATAGCTTTAAGAGGATTAGGCCTACCCTAAAATTAGGGAACCCTCGACACGTGATATCGAAATGGGCGAAATCCCTTCTTGACATCACTAACTATCTTGAATCTTGAACAAGTGCCTGTCTGCATCCTCTCATTCCTGATGGGAGTCCCCCTCCCCCGAAGACAGAGTTTAGGGAGGTCGTGGTTCATTGCGTGACTTTTATGATCACACGTATGCTCTTTCATCACCTTTGTTAGCCTCAGCTGCTGTGACAAACTGAAACATTGAAGCTTAACTGACTGACTGACTTTCCATCCTTTCATTGGCTTTTTTTTAGCGCACACAACCTACTCTTTCTTTGCACTTATTCATATGGGGAGATAAAGGAAATTCATGTTTAAAATTAATAATAATAATATTATTAACGGAGTGGGAAAAGAGGAACTTTTAATGTGGATTTCAATGTGAATATGGTAACTGGGTTGGAGGGTGATTTCTGCAGACACTCACTATAGTAGGGGTGTCAAACTGGCGGCCCGCGAGCCAATTTATTTTGTCGATTGTGGCCCCTAATCACCCCTGAAGGCTTCCATCCGGCCCCCAGCGTAATCGAGTTTGACACCCCTGAGCTAGAAGGAGCCTGCCTTCCCTCACGGCCTACAGAGCCATATTTCGAATTTAAATTGACTTTCATGAGCGTTGCTTCTTTAATGAGGGTAAATTAACCCTCTTAGTAGTGAGTTTTCTGCGGTCAGCTTTGGGCGGGACTTAATTTTTTCGTGTGGTGGGCGCGTTCTCCAAAAAGCTTTGATAAAGATAATCATGACCATGACCATGGCCGTACATTTAAGGCCAGATATATTCGTCATTAATACTGAGGGACGTACCCGTACGGCTGTACATGTATGGCCGTATTACCCAAAGGATTAATCCTCATCGAATTCCAGCAAAGGAGAGCAAGTTCACTGAATTTTTTTACGCTGGTCTGAACATACATAAGTTTTTGCTAGTAAAACATGCGTATGACTTCAATGTAAATGGTTAAATTAATTTTTTTTGGAAAGAAGTCAGATTTGTGATGAACATGTGGTGCATTGAAAAAGAAGTGGTGTGTCTGTCCGTGTGATACGCATGGCAGCGCGGCATCTTCCCCACTTTGCCGTGGGCAGGGTCGTGAAAGGCTTTGGGCGGGGTTCTAAAGAACTCGGCATTCCAACTGGTGAGTTTCATTTCAGTCTTCACAGAGATGTAGATGTTGATCGTTTCTTCTCCGGTGTGAAATCGAGTTCCTTTTTCGTGCAGCCAACTTCCCAGCGGACGTGGTGGAACATTTGCCAGAAGACTTCCAGACGGGTATCTACTGTGGCTGGGCGAGAGTTGCCAACGGACCCATATATAAGATGGTCATGTCTGTCGGTTGGAATCCTTATTACCATAATACTCAAAAATCCATGGTTCGTGGTTTCCCTCAGTGGATCCAGTCAATAGAGAACTAGGACTCTCAGTCTAAAGAGGATGATATCCTCATTTCTAATAACTCACTCCCATCGAGGTGTCAGGTGTCCAAAGAGATAACGGCATCAAACATTTCCTGTAGAGATTTCCTGCATTGATATTTGTCCTCACCCTAAAACACACTATTGCTGATTTTTCTGCAATTTCCATAGCGTATCTCCTTTAGATGTTTCTCTTGGAAATACTGTAGATTGATCAATATAGTGCTAAGCTGCAGATTTCTGTTCCCAAGGAAAATTACCTGCCTGCTCAGCCGGGACGGGTCTATTACGAGCCCGCTACGGCGCAGAAGAACCCGCAGAAGCCAAACAATCGCGTATTTCACGTGACAAGGAAAACCAGCTCTTGGTCGGCTTTTTTTTTACGACCTATGTAATTGACATTTTCATAAAATCGCCTAAGAGCATTGGTAGAGACATTCCATAAATTTTCAGTTCAACTTGTAACTTCATCAGCAGCCATACAAAGTAGAGGTATTCCAGCTCAAGTGGTCAAATTTTAGTCACTTTCGTTGGGCCTCAGACTCCGATTTGCTTGAAAAAAATTTGGGCATGATGACATCGAAGACTTACGAAAACATTTCAAATGCTAACTCTCTGGCTTTAACGGTTTTCGAGATATGCAGCCCTAAACTTAGCCCCCAAGGGGAAAAGTGACATTTGGGGTAAAAACGCTATCTTTGGTCGCAATCGAGCTAGAAAAGCGAATTTGTACTCTAATTAAAGCTGAGACAATGCAGGATCGCATTATGAAATCCATTTTCTACTACTACGTTCATCTATCTCCAAGTGAGTTACATAAATTCAAAAATGGCAAATATTCCCAAATTTTGTAGGCAAATTTTGAGCACTAGGATGCATGGCAACACAACGAGCTTTTGCAACGTTGTAGACTAAAGCAATGCCAATTTAAGAACTAAATTTCAACTTCCTACATTGTTTGTACAAACAACAAAAAATTAAATTTGAAAAGTCAAATTTTGCCTATTTTCACCCACATTGGCGGTTTGTACACCCTGTTTCAAACGCGATACAAACTTGAAACTAATGTGCAATAAAAGCTCTATCTAAGTTCTTTCCAATGATGTATTACTCATGCTGCTGAATTCAATATTCTCGTCTGTATAAATTTTGAACGATTGACCTTGTCAGTTTTACTCTTAAAATGTTTTACCCGAAGTACTAACTTTGGGAATCCTGGTGAAACAACCAGGTCTGGGTATATCTCACCAGTGACTTATAAATAGCTGTGATAATATTTTATACCTGTTCCAAGCTTTAAAAAACAAGATTTAAAGTTTTATGGATTTGATGCAACTGCAATTGTGCTGACCTTAGCGTTTCCTTGGCGTGTCAGACTAAGCAGACTTCAGAATGGAATTGTGTTCCTTCTAAGTGTCCGGTGATTGCCACAAAGTCAGCAACAAATTATTCATTCAGAGAAAATAAACAGGAAATTTTGAGCCTTAGGTTTGGAAAAGCCAGGAATGAATTTTAAAACATTTGCCTTCATCATGAACAAGATTGGTCAGTGCGATATACTCTTCTCAAGGGAGGGAAGAACTGTTGTGATCCCTTCAACAGTCACAGGAAGACTGTGAAAGGAAGTCGAGTTATCTCTAATATCCCCCCCCCCCCCAAAAAAAAAAAAAAAAAAAAAAAAAAAAACAAAGCTGAACAGAATGAAAAAGTGAAGGGGAGGGTGGGCACCATGGGTCACTTTTTTGGACCTGCAACTTAGACATTTTTATTCCTCTGAAGCAATGGAAGGCCCTGCGTGTAAATGCTCAAAGCACCAGCACAATCCCGTGTTTCAAATTTGTCAACCTACAAGTGTCGTACGATAAAGTCGTATTTTAAAATGAGGCAATGGGTCAGTGTGCGGGGTACGATGGGTCATCCCCATAATCATCGCTAAAATGAACTGCAACTGACCCAAAGTCATCACACAAAGAAAGCTTCGCACCACACGAAGAGAAGCCCTTGAATACTGATGCACTTCAAAGTTATCTTTAAAAAAATTAGGAACCTTTAATCGGGAAATAATATACGCTTCGTTTTACGTCCAAGAATGTCACATCTGCTGGTGTTGAACCCTTCTGAGTTTTCCGCTTCTGTTTGCGCGTTATTAGGTCGGAAAAAGACTGCAAAGGAAAACCTTATCTGTATTGGCAACTATCAGGAAACATTTGGCGCAATGAGTTATGACCCATTGTACTCGAATAGTGACCCATTTTGCCCCAAATAGAGTGACCCATCGTGCCCCAACAGGAGCCATTGAAATGAAATCAATATTTAAACCAGAGTAAGAATTTCTAAAATCGAGTATGCGCGTCCCTAACTTGATGGCTAGAAGGCTTAGGTTAAGGTCATTCTTAGTTCTGATAAGTAGTTTTCTTTGTTAATCGTTTTTAGGTCCAAAGTGACGGGCGTTTTTCAAAAAAGTATTTTCTACAGAAATACCTCCACACAATTTTCTCTTTTGATGGGGACTACTCTTTTTTCAACTACACTTTCCTGGCACTTCAGCTGGAAGATAAGAGCTGTAGCATTGCTGCACTTCTCTTTGCCTCGACCCTCTCGTTATTTGTGAACTGGGTACCACGGGGTGAGAGGGGATGGACAATATCCCTTATACCTTACGTTTTTGACGAGCTTTAGGTGGCGTATGCAACAAGTGATATTTCGTGGAGCACTCGCAATGCTTCGAAAGAAAGATTGAAGTGAATTGCAATTAATACACGAACCACACCTCTCCCCGGGATTGAAAACAACTATTTCTCAGATGAGTATCAGTATTTTCCTCATTTTCCTTTTAAAAATAAAAATAAATCGCAGCATTTTTTCTATTTAAAAAAAAGGCAATGCAAATCATTTTTAATAATTTTCCTCTTTTAAGTGTTTCACTCATTTCATTACTCTGCATCCACCCAGAAAGGATGGTAGAATTTTTGGACCCCTCTGATATTGATGTCATTGGATAGATCTCAAATCGCCGAATCAAAAATATGTGCACCTTATAACCTATCTCATTCCATTACCGAGTTATGAGCTCTGGATGATTCAAGACTATAATAACCAATTAACGGATAATGAAGCCATAGCCCCATAGAATTATTCACATCGTTAGGAAGGTCTAGTGAGGTAGAATGAGATCCGTACCACAGAGGAGACTTCTACGATGCGGTAGGAAGGCAACGNGGGTCCGTTGGCAACTCTCGCCCAGCCACAGTAGATACCCGTCTGGAAGTCTTCTGGCAAATGTTCCACCACGTCCGCTGGGAAGTTGGCTGCACGAAAAAGGAACTCGATTTCACACCGGAGAAGACAACATACTTAGAATTTGCGTGGGAGCAAAAGGATGCAGTCTCGATCGTACATGGTGGAGCTCTGCTGCTGTACTGCTATGCTCCAACGAAAGTAACTAAAATTTGGCCACTTGAGCTGGAATGCCTCAGTAGGGAACTTTTTTCCATCTGGGTAAGCATATACGCATTCTGTGCTTGAGGGAGAAACTATGCTGCGCTTCTAGACATTCGTTTTCAAAACAGAAGCGACCAATGCGAGTTCAATGAATATAATTTTAATCGCTTATCTGTCCGATCTCTATCAATCTTTCAGGAAACCCACATAATCCACGAATTTCCCGCGGACTTCTACGAAGCGATATTGAGAGTGGGAATCGTGGCGTTTCTTCGACCGGAAGCGAATTTCTCATCGCTAGGTTTCCATTCCGATTCATCTGTCCACTTTCCATGGATTTTTTTCAACGATAGAATACTAATGTGAGCTTTTTTCTCCTCGTCTGGCGATAGATGATCTCATCAAAGCTATCAAGAAAGACATCCAAGATGCCGAGGCCCTTCTGGATTCGGAGAAATACCTTCAAATCAAGGAAGATCCCTTCTTGAAGGATCACAGGTGTTGATCCCATTAAAAGTGCCCTGAGTGTTCCCTTCGTCGGATGCCGCTCCGACATCGTTTTCCCTTTAGGGACAAGTTCTTAGTCGCTGTGATTATCGATATTTATCCCCTTGGGTCCTACAAGTATTTAAGATATATTTATATAGAAAAGACAAATAAAATATGAGGGTTGTATTGTGGACTAGGGCCATCCACGTTTCCTTACTATTTATATCGGTTGCCTTCCAATTTGCCTTGTGAAGATACTTCCAGGACCAGACACAAAAATGCTTATGAAGCGTTGCGACGTCGTTATACAGGCAAAACCCAAAGCACATTCGCATCATAAGGACTGAACGTTTTAAATAAATGCAGATGCATTGAAGTTTGCGCGAAAATATTCGCCAAAGCTGAACAGAATGAAAAAGTGAAGGGGAGGGTGGGCACCATGGGTCACTTTTTTGGACCTGCAACTTAGACATTTTTATTCCTCTGAAGCAATGGAAGGCCCTGCGTGTAAATGCTCAAAGCAGCAGCACAATCCCGTGTTTCAAATTTGTCAACCTACAAGTGTCGTACGATAAAGTCGTATTTAAAAATGAGGCAATGGGTCAGTGTGCGGGGTACGATGGGTCATCCCCATAATCATCGCTAAAATGAACTGCAACTGACCCAAAGTCATCACACAAAGAAGGCTTCGCACCACACGAAGAGAAGCCCTTGAATACTGATGCACTTCAAAGTTAACTTTAAAAAAATTAGGAGCCTTTAATCGGGAAATAATATACGCTTCGTTTTACGTCCAAGAATGTCACATCTGCTGGTGTTGAACCCTTCCGAGTTTTCCGCTTCTGTTTGCGCGTTATTAGGTCGGAAAAAGACTGCAAAGGAAAACCTTATCTGTATTGGCAACTATCAGGAAACATTTGGCGCAATGAGTACACTATTTGAGTACAACCCATTGTACTCAAATAGTGACCCATTTTGCCCCAAATAGAGTGACCCATCGTGCCCCAACAGGAGCCATTGAAATGAAATCAATATTTGAACCAGAGTAATTTAAAGATTTTAGCTCATACGCGCAGGGATTGAACTACCGATCTTCCGAATCCAATTCCAGTAAGAATCAAGACTATTCATCAAAAGAAACAATTAGCAAAAATCCAGGTTTCACTGCCCGCAAAAACAAAAAAGTATTTTCTACAGAAATACGTCCACACAATTTGCTCTTTTGATGGGGACTACTCTTTTTTCAACTACACTTTCCTGGCACTTCAGCTGGAAGATAAGAGCTGTAGCATTCGACGTGAAGAGAAACGGAGCTGGGAGAGCAATAAACACTTGACCCATGGTGCCCCACTCTCCCCTACCTGTTATAGGGAATATGGAATGCAAAAACTGCTCGAAATCCACCGCATACGTTGTTCACTACAAGAATAGGTAGTATGTAGTATTCTACAAGAAATATGTAGTATTCTACAAGAATACTACATATTTCGTGGAGCACTCGCAATGCTTCGAAAGAAAGATTGAAGTGAATTGCAATTAATACACGAACCACACCTCTCCCCTGGATTGAAAACAACTATTTCTCAGATGAGTATCGGTATTTTCCTCATTTTCCTTTTAAAAATAAAAATAAATCGCAGCATTTTTTCTATTTAAAAAAAAGGCAATGCAAATCATTTTTAATAATTTTCCTCTTTTAAGTGTTTCACTCATTTCATTACTCTGCATCCACCCAGAAAGGATGGTAGAATTTTTGGACCCCTCTGATATTGATGTCATTGGATAGATCTCAAATCGCCGAATCAAAAATATGTGCACCTTATAACCTATCTCATTCCATTACCGAGTTATGAGCTCTGGATGATTCAAGACTATAATAACCAATTAACGGATAATGAAGCCATAGCCCCATAGAATTATTCACATCGTTAGGAAGGTCTAGTGAGGTAGAATGAGATCCGTACCACAGAGGAGACTTCTACGATGCGGTAGGAAGGCAACGGGCATAGGATTGGAGTTCCATGCCAGGGTAAATTCTTCCTTCTCATGAGAATGCCAAGAAAAGGAAAACCGTTCTCTCAGCTGGATGGTGATTCCAGTGGCAGAGGTGGACACCCAAGCCCCAGTGGCCAGGGCCGGCCCTAGCTATTTCGGCGCCCTGTGCAAAGAGACTCCCGAAGCGCCCCTCGAATGGAGATGGGTCAATCCCCTGCGTTCAAATTGACGCCGAAACGGAAGGCATTATTCATTTTCTGAAGTAAAGCTGAGGATGCCATACATTGTTGCTTCGTATATTTAGTAACTTTTGGCGCACCTGGTGAATTTGCGCCCTGTGCGGGGGTACACGAGGCACATGCTTAAGACCGACCCTGCCTGTGGTACGTGTTAGCTATGTTATGTTGTGGTACCTATTACATTCCTATTACCTATTACCTAGTAAGCATTCGAGATTAAATCACCATAGAAACAGTTAAATTAAATTTCATCCCCCCCCCCCCCCGTCTATCTATCTGGACAGCACTGATGCATTTCTAATTTACTTTTCAGGTTTTTTTTTTACACTTTTTGTCTTAGATTTATGCTCTCTTTGGGTTTGCTTCCATAACATGATGGAGAGGAGGACAACTCAAAATTATATGTTTTGACTAAAAACCCGAAAGAAAAACTGGAAAAAGTTTCGCTCTTATAGTGATAATTTTTTCCTAGTAAAATATTGATTTCCGTGAAAATTCCCTACAGACTTCTGTTCACGATCAAAAGAGCTTTCAAATGATGCGTCATTCATCGAAATTGGTGGGGCCCAATGGCCGTAGGAAAATAGTACCCTCCTTTGAAAAACCTTTGAAAATTTTTCCTAGTTCTCTCACGCATAAATTTTTTAAATTTTAAATGTAGTATCCTAAAAACATTTAAAGGGAGGAAGCAGCATTTCAGTCATATTAAGCATCATTCCAGGCGAGTCAAATCAGTCACATATTCATGAAATGAAATCCAGCCCATGAAGTGAACGATTAAATGCATTTAAAATAAATGAGCACATATATCGATCCAAGAGCGGATTCTTAAAACCCGGCTGCCCCCCTCAACGATCCGTTCCACATCGCATCTGCCGATAATCGGCATACCTCAGCATGTTGTTGAAAATCGAAAGTACCCTCCAATCTCCTTGACCGATTTTCGGACCAGAGCCAGATGCCATCCACGACCGGAGTGTCTCGGCTCTGCCCGATATCGCAGACGGATCTCGTCCGGGAAAGGGAAAGGGAAAATGAGAAGCGATTTCCGAAGTCACACGGTTGTCCGAGTCCGAGGTGAAGATTGGGAGACGAGGCTCTGGCAAGAAACCTCCAATCTGGAGGAACAAGAAACTCGAAAAATTTTAAAACGACGAATTCAAGATTCGTGAAATCGCTCGTGGTAACCACGATGCATTGCATCCTACTACTAAATGCATCGGATCCGACCGCGGAAGATTTTCGGTCTCCTCGCGTGAAGCACTGCGAAGAACTGAGAATCCCCCCGTCCCAGGGCATCCGATGCGTTACGTGGAGGGTTCTCCCGAGCCTCTGGCACCGATCCAGTTGAGCCATCGGGTCATTGACATGAGGGTCTGTCCATGCCAACTTGTCCGGAGAGCCTTAACATCAATTTTCACTAAACTTCCGCATAGTACTCCTCGTGCGAAAGTTGTTCACCTCCAGTCCCCGTAGACACGAATGAATATTCGTATTTACAAATAATGAAGGAACTCGGTCATTTCTATCACGAGTACCGCTCTCATGGGACACTTAATTAAATTTAGAGACTGCTCAGGACAACGAGAACGAATGGTTTTCTCATGTTAAGTCATGATCACAGCTGCGCTCAAGTATGAAGAGAACTTGTCATTTTTTTCACATATGAATGATGAAAGCCGACCATTAAAAGAGGTATGCATACTTTTCATTTTAAAATTAACTTCGAGAAAAAGTGGCAACCGACACTTTCCCGTCGGATTTCCCGCAAAACCTCCTTCCTTTCTTTTCGTATTTCGGTAATCAAAGGGGGACTCACTCTAATGTCTGGTTTTCGTACCACTTTGAAATGGAGATAGCACTAAATCGACGGGCTCCCATGTATTGCGAAAAAGTGAAGACGATAGTCGATTACTCATTCTTGAATTTCACGAATTGTTACATGCGACATTTCATCCACGCGTGGATGCAGCTGTAGCAAAAGAAAGTACCTGAGGCCAAGGATCGTGGAATATTCTGTCACAGCCTAAGGCTGAGTGTTCCAGTCTTTTTAGGTTCATTCGCCGTCATTTACGTTTATTTTTATATTATAGATGCGTGAATTAGGATGTACGGTATATTACACCCGAAGAACCCCAAATAGAAGCAGTGAAATTTGGCGAAATCGAGCTTTGTACACGGGCAATTCATGCCTAGTGGCCATAAAAAACGAGTGGTTGTCGTAACGTTTCCGGGACGTCCACACGAGGGATTTGCAGCGAAACCTATGAAACTTTTCGTGCAGCAGTAAGAGTGGGCCAGAGTGGCAAGGGTGGGCAAAGGTGGGCACTTTCCCTAGAGGCGCTACCCAGAAAGGGGCGAAAAAAAAAACAGAGAGAGAAGCTTACATAAAGAGGGGAACGAAAGGGAAAGTCGGTCGGCCGGTTGAAATAGGAAAATCCGGTAAACATGCGAAAAATTTGGCTTTAGCTGCCCTTTGTGAGTTTGCTTGCCCCAAACTTCCCCCCCCCCCCCCCCCCCTCTCCCCCCCCNAAACAACATTGAAAATAGTTTTTTTTTTTTAATTTGCTCCTAATAGCCTCTGAACGACTTCCCTAGTTCACGAGTAGTCACAAAATGCTGAAAATACTGTTAATTATGATTAGCTAGCATTTCACTGATGTTGATTTTTCGTCGAATTCTCAACTTCAACCAAGTCTCAACGTTTCAATCTATTCTCAATGTTGATACAACGTTGTTGTGCCGAATGGGTAGAGTTTGAGTCCTGGGGCCCGTTCCTCGCCTGTGCTAAACTTAAATCTAAATCTAAATCTTAGGCTAAATCTTAGTCTAAAGGGTCAGGGCGAAGTATAGACTTTTTGCTTTTAGACTGCTTTTAGATTTAGATTTAGATTTAGATTTAAATTTAAGTTTAGCATAGGCGAGGAACGGGCCCCTAGTCTTGGCTATATGTACAGAAAGCCGCTATCGACTGGTATTTCATATTAGTGATATGTTCTAACGTCATATGCCGATCGTGCTGCAGTCGGGTAAATCGTGATGAAAATTCTCGCCGATAGCTATTAGCACTCTCACCAAGATTTCCATTGGTCCATTTCCATGCTGCCACCTTCACCTTTCCTTCAATGGTGTACTCTAAAATTAAGACTAGGTCACTCAGACTGCCTGAAACTGAAAAAAATTACCCTTTAAAAGGATTTAATACTTGTCGTTATCGCACATGCAATTACTACATTATATGCCATAAAACGTGTGGAGAGAGTTCGGGAACACCTTTTTGGTACGATCTTCATGAAGAACGAATGCAATATAAATTTAATTTTGGATCGTCTGATGAGACAGGTATGAATAATTATGAAGCGAAGTTTGGAAACTTATGACTGAAAAGAGAAATCCGAGTGATTCATGCAGGCTTTTTGCGGATGGAGTGGATGCGTCGGGTCAATCGAGCCCCTCCTGGCTTTTCAATTCCTGAGCAACGCATGCGATGTCCATTTCACCATTATTTCAGGTCATGTACTTCAGGCCAACATTCGTATAGACACTAAACCTAAGTCCGGCCTGCTAGGATGACTGTTCGGCATAAACTAACATTGTCCAGGTGCGATGGATGGAGCGGATTAGTGAAAACTGACATTTGCTTCCAATTCGAATAAAAACGATTTTAACTTTATTTCAGAAGCAGGCAACAGACGTACTTGGCTCTGTTACCTTGACGGGGCTCTCGCGCAGGTCTGCGCAGCGTGTCAGGCAACCTCCCGTGCTGTGATGTCATGTGACGTCACGCAGGTCGGCCATCTTGGAGACTAGCCGGGGGTCGTGCAAGCCATCCTATCAGGTCAGTTGGATTTCCTCTTTCGAAAGGAATCTGTGTCTAGTTTTTGCCCTGAATCCCGGTGATTTTGTTGCCAAGTTCACCCTGCTAGGTTGACTATGCTTGGCCCAGCCTAACGTTGCCTTGGGTAGAGGTAAAAGAGGCGTAATGGCACGCGTTTTAGACTAACGTTAGGACCTTGGCAACCAGAATATCCCAGGAGGTGGACCACGTTGCATGCGAATGAGAAATATTGCTTGCATTCTTTTATTTTTTATTCTGAATTATTCTGAAAGTGGAGAGTGTTAAAATGCCTAGTCGTACGTGAATTTATCTCAACTGCTGAGGGCCAAGTTCTCCAGTGTGGTTGACAAATGCCCCCTTGTTGCTAGGCCGGGTTTGTTAGGCCTGTACCAGAGCCATGGTGCGTGGAGGTGGGCCTAAAGTATTACGGAGCAAATTATAGTAGTAGGCCTAATGTAGGGTATGTCAACTCTGGAATTTGAGTGGTGCTACTCAGGCCAGTAACTTAAGCCTTAGATAAGATTTTAGATCTTGGATTCAGTTCCTTACCAAGCTCTTCGTGGTTGGCTTAAGGACAGTTTCCTCTGGAAAATGATTAATTTTGCACACTAATGATAAATGTGCACTTTTACCAGAAGGTAGATTTGTTAAATGTCAATTTCATACAAGGCAGGTTTGGAGCATAGGAAAAAGACTGGAAGAACGAACTGTTTATCTATAGTTATTCAACATGTCGAAAGTATAATTTAAAATACTTTTTTGAGATATGATTTTCACCCCAATACTGAAAATAGGTTCATATCAAGGTATTCTTTGGAAGAAGTGACTTGAAGCATGTGCCTCAGACTAGGCCTCTCTGGTTTTTCTTAAATCATGAATATATTCCAAGTACCTGTTCAATGTGCAGGAAGGCAGATGGTTTTGTACCTATACATCATTTTTGTAGACATAACTTTGCCTAGGCTTGTTCCTAGTTGAGCTATGCTGAGCTTTCCCCCAGTAAAAGACTTGGGAATTTTAACAATCATAACTTTCATGTGATGCCTGTTTTCTTTGCTTCAGATCAATTGGAGGGAAGTCACCAGATCCAACCTCACACAGTGATCATGTATGCCTGCTCAAGATTTGTCACTCCCCTTTTCAGGCCTTCTGTAAGTATGATTATCTATTATCTTGGAGAGAATCAATTGTTCTCTGGTAATTTTTTTGGCTGGCCTTTGTTGCAAATGTTTACATTTGAAGCTTAGCCATGAAGCATCTTTTTTCATTTCTTTTAAACTCAAACCAAAAGTTGTCCAGATTGGGAGGAATCAAGGGAGACATCCTTTAGGTCTACCAGTAAAATGAGATGTAAATAGGGAAGGTACACTACTTCCCTGCATCTCATTTCCAACTGGTTGCTGAGTGCAAATTTCTATCCAGTATCTCCCTGTGAGTAGGGTATTCACCTTGTCTTATCAGATAAAGTTGAAGCATAAAGATAACTATAAAACTGATAAATTGCTATCTGTAGGCTTTTCAACAACACCTTATGATAATAGAGGTGAAAATATCTAAATCCAACACCTTTTCAGCAGTAAAAAAAACCCTAGACTGGTTCCAGCATCTTCGCTCTAACTTTCTGCCTGCTGGCAAAAGAAAAAAGGCAATAATGGCTAGGTGGGATTGAAAACTGTCACTCTTGTGCCTGTTTCCCTTTGCATTTACTATATTGACTCTTTGCTGTAGGCCAGATTCACTTTGACAGGAAAATTATGCAAAAAATCAGTTGGTTTACAGTAATTTTTTTTTTTACTTTTTCTTATTGTCTATGCTGATAACTGGTATCCAGCCTCATTTATGAAGATCAGTAACAAATTTTATCATGTTGCAGGTCACGTTAGCTCGCCCACTGGGGAGCATTTCAACATCTGGTCTTGCCATTCCCCCGGCTCCTCCAGCAACATCGATAGGATCAGTGGAATCCAACACAATATTGAGCCTTAGGACCTTCCATACATCACCACTTCAGAGAGATATTGACTCTGCTGCCAAATTCATTGGTGCTGGAGCTGCCACTGTTGGAGTAGCTGGGTCTGGTATGTTGGTTTTTTGTTATTCTTCTCTCTTCTGTATGGTACTACATGTTGAGTTCAATTATGAAACTTTTAATTTATGAAGAGGAATACATGTCTAATTGGTGTGCACTTGCTTATAGGTGCTGGGATTGGAAGTGTGTTTGGTTCCCTGATCATTGGCTATGCCAGAAATCCATCATTGAAGCAGCAGTTGTTTTCATATGCCATCCTAGGCTTTGCCCTGTCTGAAGCTATGGGTCTGTTCTGTCTTATGATGGCCTTCTTGCTTCTATTTGCTTTTTGAGGTGTTCCAACCTCCATTGATATTGTTTTTTTGTTCTAAGAGCATGAAAGTGTGAATCACATGATTTAGAACATTTCTAATTAGGGAGGTTCAAAGTATGGCTGTCTTCCCCCTTGCCCTGGCAATACTTCAGGCCAAATTCCATGTAGCCCCCAAGGGCTGAGACATCATTCCATCATTCAAAGAGGGGCTACTAGAGAAGGCCTCTGTGACTGTTGCTTGGACAAGGGGTTGTAGGATGGCCATCTTTTGTATGTACCCCATGGTAGCAAGAAGCATCAAATAAACAAACGAGTGTACCTCGAGTATCAAAGTGTTTTTATTTGCCCAGATGAGCTTCATCTCATGCATTTCATTCGCACATACTCACTCTTACATTCATTCCTGATGAACAGATGCCCTCTGTGGTATCACAATGATTGGAAGAGCTCATTTGACTCTTCTTCAGCCTAGCAGACGGCGAACTTTGCTGTATGCTAATGATTGACGAAACTGTGCATATTCTCCTGAATCTAGTAGATCAATCACTGTGAAGAAAACAAGATCAAGACAATCAATGAGCTTTAGTTTGAATTTTTTTGCTATAATTTCTACCCTTACCTTCAATGTCAGCCTGGAAACCAGTTGGTATCCCACGTGTCTTCTCATCCTCGTGGTATACTGTTAGTTGAACCTCTTTCTTGGCAAAGATGATGTTGGCCCTACTACTCATGGTGGTGCCACTGGATTCACCCTGCAAAATACAAAGCATGTGGTAACTATAAGTCAACTGGCCTCAACCAGAATGTCACATTTTGCTCACCTCTGGGTCAAGGTTAGTGCCACACCATCTGGCTTGGTATCCATTATTCTCCCTCTCGACTTCAATGTATGCACCCTCACAATCCACTGAATATGGGGCACTAATATTACGGAATGTGACTAGCAAGTAGAGGTCAGGCTCCGTCTGAGGAACAGAATTTGAGAAACCACTTAATGCATCCGTGCAATAAGAGAAATGGTGAAAAGAACTGGCTTGGTGGTTACCTTGATGTTCCATTTGCAGGTTGTTGATGAATCTCGTTTCCTTCGAGGGTTTTGAAGCTGAAATCCATTGAGGAAAGCTTCTTGCCATTCCACAGGTTGTGAAGATATAAAGTGGAGGAACTTATCTCCTTCAAACATTCGGCGAGAGGAGTCAGTCCGTTTCTCCTGAGCTCCACTTGGGGTATAGACCACTACTTTAGGATAGCTTGGGTTTGTTGATGAATATCCAGAAGGTCCTTCTTGTACAACTTGAAGGAAAAAAAGGAAGTGCTATTGAGCATCTCATCAGATAATTCTGTTATTTCTGTAGCATTTGTCACTTACTGGGTTGACTGAAGATTGTATTGCCAAAGTTAACTGGTGCCACCTGGGGAGTTGGCTTTGGTTTGTATGTTGTTGGACCCACATTCTGGAAAGTTGGTGGTTCGGGTGTAGAACTCGACGTCTGGAGCTGATAGGGGATTGGATATGAATAGTATGGATTGTTGTATGATGGCTTCCAACCTGAGGGATAGGAGACCTCTTCATCTGCATTTCCAGTTCCTGTCACATCTGGAAGTTTGAAGTCAGAAAAGCGTCAAATAATGAGAACTTTAATGGCTAATGCAGGTACAAAGTCACATACCTGTGTCTGTGTTTTGGTAATAGCCATAATTTTGATCACTTGGAGCTGATGCATAATATCCAGAGTAATCATACTCCTCTGGATCGTAGTCTTGTTCTCCATTTGTATGATGGTAGTATTTGTGCTTGTTCCCATATTGAGGATGTGCCCCTTCTGGGACGTATTCTTTGTCAGTGATGAACATATGATTAGGAGGGAGACGTATTTCACCATACCCCTTGTTTCCCTCTCCATATTGAGTGACTTGACCAGAGTCATATGGATAAAAACCATCACCTGTGCCCCATTCAGATCCTCCTGCTGTATGGAGTTTGTGCAGAGTAGTCTTGTATTCTGGTTCTTCTGTTACTGTTGTGAATTCTGTGTCATACATCATGTCTGTCTGTGTGGTTTCTTCTCCTGGCATTCTGATGTCTTGGTTTTCAGTAGTACTGGACATTCCAATGTGGTTGCTTTCAGTAGTACTGGGCATCCCAATGTCTTCATTTTCTGTAGTACTGGGCATCTTGATAATTTTACTTTCAGTAGTACTGAGGGTCTCAAGAGTGCTTAATTTGAGTGAGTTGTCTGTAGTATATGGGGGCTTTGTTGTGGTTCCCTTGAATGATGGAATACTAGTTTCTTCAGCCATCCACCATTCTGTTGAAGCCCAACTGCTTGTACTTGTCTCCTGTTCATTGGTTGTTGAGAAAATTATCTCTTGCATATCAGCTTTTGAGATGGGTGTTGAAATCATCAGGATTGGAGAGGTTCTTGTGTTGGTTTCTACCTCATCCATATCCATATTCCCTTCTTTGTTCATGTTTTCCTTAGTTGTGTCTCCTCCTTTCTTCAATTCAACCTCTTTTACCTGGCTTTTTTGTGCTGTGAAAAGGACTGTTGCTATATTTATGGTTTCTTCTGTTGTTGAGGCATCTGAGTGAAAGTCATTTTTTGGTGTGGTCATGACTGGTGGTTCTGGATCATGGTGAAACACATTGACATGACTTGACACAGAGATGCTAGCTCCATCATGTGCTGAGTACCCAGAGGACACTTGGACGCTGCCCAGATTCTCATCTCCTTTTTGAAAGGGATACAAGGAATAATCATAATCCAAAATGTCTTTCTCTCCAGATTTGTTTCCACCATAGACTGGCTGAGGATCATGAGACCCTTGGACAATAACTGCAGACTCTACATTTCCAGATCCCTTAGTACTTGTTCCCAGTTGTGGGGGTGTGATGATCTGGAATGGGTCTTGATTCCCAAAAATTGGTTTTTTTGTAGTGAGGCTGTAGATTCTAGAGAAATACTCCCAATAATCAAATTCAGTGGTACTTGATGGTGGCTTCTGTGAGGAAGACACTATTTGATTGAAACCACTACCAACCTCATCTACTCCTCTGTAGTTGGTTCCAATCTGCTTCTCTTCTGGAACGGTCTCTCTCTTGAATCTCCTAGATTCAACAGGGGGAACCACAATGTCATGTATACCAGAGAGAACTTCATCAGCTGTCACCATGCCATCAGGTTTGTTGTCTTGCCTTGTCTCCCTTGTATCTGTGTCCACCTTTTCATTTTCTTGCTTAAGGTTAGCCATGTCCTGTTCCTTGGTGTCACTGGTTTCTGTGGGTACTTCTTGGTCCTGTGTGGATTCAGGTGTGTCCTTCAAGAGACGGTCATTTTCCTTTATGTCCATATCTTTATCACTCTTGTCCTCATTTATCTGTGTATTTTTAGGATCTGTCTCCTCTGGCATGCTGGAATGAGCTTCTTCATCTTTCCCATCTGTCGCTTTGGGTTCTGTCTCTACGTGTGTGTCTTTTGCATCTTGACTCTCCTCATGCTTCTCTGCCTCTGCCTCTGCCTCTGCCTCTGCCTCTGCCTCTGCCTCTGCCTCTGCCTCTGCCTCTGCCTCTGCCTCTGCCTCTGCCTCTGCCTCTGCCTCTGCCTCTGCCTCTGCCTCTGGGAGTTCTTGAGGGTTGGTCTCTTCATGTATTTCAGGTATTTCTTCTGGAATATCACCCTTTTCAATGCCAGCACCTTCCTCTTCTACCTCCATGTTACCTTCCTCATTGGTGTTTTCTTGTTTGATATCTTCTTTCTTTGTGTTTTCTTGTTTCTGTCCATCCATGTGTTCCTTCATTGTTTCACTTTCCTCTTCCTCTTTGATGCTTCCTGAATCTTTATCTGGTTCTGATCCCTTTGCCACATTTTCATTTGAGCCCTTCATGGTTTCACCTTCACCAGTTTCTACCATAGGCTCCTTTTCTTTTTCTGTTTCACTCTCCTTCATTGCTTCTACACTCTCCTGTGGTTTAACAATTTCCTCTTCCATCTGTATTTCTTGCTTGTCTGTCACTTTCTCTGGAGTCACTTCAAACAGTTCCTCATGATGGTCTTGTTTGGCTCCATTTTCATTTGACTGTATGTTTTGTTTTTTGTGCTCTTGTGTGTCTTTCTCTCCTGGCTCCATGGGCAGATCATGTTTTCCCTCATCTTCTGTCACTGCAGAGTTTCCAGTGTCCATTTCCCCCTCTTCCCTATCCAAGTCAGATTCCCCAACTTTTTCTTTCTCATTTTCATGGGCCTGTTGATGTAGCTTGGATTGCTCCTGATCTATCTCCATTCCACCAGTCTGCATTGCTTCAGGTTCTTCCATTTTTGGATCCTCTGGTTCTGCCATTCCTGAAATTTGTTCCTGGGGATCCATTTTGTCCATATCTATGATTTGTTCTTGTTCTGCCATGGGATCATGCCCATGTGGGGAGTTTTCCAGCAGTTCCATTGTGTCCTTGGTAGCATCTTCCTCCATCAGGAATTCTTCTGCATTGGCTACCTCTGATTCACTTTCCTTTTCATCTCCCTGTGTGACTTCTGTCTCTCCAGAATTTCCCAAGTTGTCATCATCTTTTGGCTCTTCTGTCAATGCACCTGAAGGCATTTCACCCTTCATAACAGAATCCATATCTTGTGCAGTCATGATGGTCTCTTGTTCCTCCTTGTTCTCCTTTGTGTCTCCCTCCTCTATCATGGGAGGACCTGATTCTCCTTCCACCTTAAAGCCATTTTCTTGTCCTTGATTTTGTTCTGGTGGCGAACCAGTGTCTTCTGCCTCTATCATGGAGTCACGTTCCCCTTCTTGTTCCTTCATGGTTTCTTGTATTTCCCCAGTCTTAAAAGGGCTTTCCTTTTCTTCTTCCTCCATCATAGAAGCACTTTCTTTCTCTTCTTCCTGTATCAGTTTCACTGGAGAATCACCATGTTCTACCATGGAACTGTGCTGTTCTTCCTGTTCTTCTGCAGTATGTTTAGCATCCTCCTCCTCTTTCATGTTTGAAGCATCTTCTTCCAGCTTCATCTGAGAATCACCTTCATGTTCTGTATCTGGCATCTCTAGCTCAGAAGCAGGTTCTTCCTCTCCCTGTGTTGAAGTCAGTGGAGAATCTATTTCATGTTCTTTCTGCTCTTCAGTAGGAATCCCTTGATGGTCTCCTTCTTTCATGCTAGTATTGTTATCATGCACCTCTTGTTCTGTCTCTGAATCAAATGGATCCTCATCTTTCGTCAAGGAGTCTCCTCCTGTCATGGGATCCTCTTCATGACCTTCGTTCTCACCCTTCAAGGACTCACCTGTGGATTTTTCATCTCCGGTCATCTTTTTTACTTCATCTTCGATTCCATGCCCTTGATCTGTTTGATGCTCTTGATCCTTTGAGGGTGGCGGACCAGGCAGGTCTTCTTCATCCTCTGTGGCCTGGGTCGTAGTTCTTGTTGCCAGATCCAGGATTTTATTGAAGTTCTCCAGAAATTGATTGGTACCTGTTCCATGGTCGCTCCAGTAGGAAATGCTTTTCTTCTCTTCTTTTCCCACGTAGACCTCTGTTGCGGTCCATCCACACTCTCCTGTGGCGAAACAAGGTGGGTGAAGTGTACATCCGAAGTAGATGGATGTCTGCATCATACCTTTTCTCGCATACTTCATTAAAAGCTGAAATTCGCTTGAAAGTTGCACATATGGTGCGCTCCTTTTTTGCCAACGTAGCAAATTGGATCACCAACCACACCATTTGCTGCTCGAGTCCATCTCTTGTTTTCTCATGCTGACAGTAATTTGACAAAAGTTCTACTACCCAGTGAATGTTGCGTAATTGTCCCTCCGGAGATATATTGAAGTTATAGGTTTGAAATATCATAAGAAGAGGTTCATTGGAGAATCCTTGAGAATATCTTTGTTCTCGGTGCAGAGTTGGCCACTCGTCCCCATCAGATTTTCTCGACTGGACTAAGCAAATGTACAGAACGTTTCAGAAGTGGGAAACCATAGGAAAGACACCGAGAAGACTCACTCTCCTCTCATATGCTCAAAAGAGTTCTCTTCAGTCGTTTTCAGTGCTTAATTTAACCCTTTTCTGTTACGTTTTGACGCCAACAAAGGCAAGAAAAATTAGAATAATTCGTATAAGCATAAAATCCCGATCGTTTTTTACTTCTGGGACGCTCTGTACATTCTGGCCCGACACTTACCTCAGGTAACGCTTTGGTTTTCATGGTGATTTAACTGCGAGAGAACGACTTTAAGAGTAATTGGTGATGCTTGCAGTCTTGAGAGAGGTCAATGATGGTGAAATAACTGCGAAAGGAACCTCTGCCTTGAACCATATCCCAGAAGCAGCAATATGAACGAGTGACTGGAGTGGGCGATGAGGTTCCCAATGTTCAAGAGGAAGTAGATATGTCGGTCTCCAGAAATCAGGAAAAAAGCTATCAGGTAAGGATGTTCTGAACCTCGCGAGGCAGTGAATCGAAATGAACGAGAATTTCTCAATCCTAAGTCTTAATAAGTATATGACGGGAAGGCGCACGAGTCACTACTGTTTAGAATGAGGGACGTAAGGTTTTTTCCTCAAAACCGAATTCGATCAAATTGGTTTCGTGAAAATTTCAACAAAATCGTTCTCTAAGAATCCGATCGAGACATTTCTCTCTGCGTCGCGTGGAAAGAGCAAATGTAAAATTCCTGGCTGCTTCCTCCCTGCACGATTGAAGCCCAATCCAGGTGAGAAGGGAAGCCCAACATCACAGACTTTGACACAGTTCGACTGAGCAGGCCATCATTGACATTGCTCTTTTCACATCGCGTGGGAAAAGGGCACCCTTGAGAAATATATTTACTCAATCAAATTTGGTTCTGAGGTCTAAACCGGACAAACACCTTTTGTTCATGGCCACTGCTGCTGCTTTTGTCTGTCCTGGTACCCACGAAGCTCCTAGTTTGCGAAAATTGTTTGCTCTTCAAAGAAAAAATATCGTTGCCTTAGAGCACCCACACCTGCACCATTTTTGGAGTACAAAGGGAAGAGTAGATTTCTTTCCTCGTGTCCCAAGATCAAGAGAGAAGTGCTCCTCTTGCCGAAAAAATGATAACTTCATCAATTGATTGAAAACTAAAATTATAATTTTTTTTTGGAGCTCATGAAGAAGTCATGCTCGAGGTCGAGGAATGCAGCTTTGTTGGTAGAACACCAGTGTTCACCGAGTGGAACAATAGCGAATCCGGCTAGCTGTAACTCCACGCTCTGTCGCATCCCACATCGTGAACGTAACAGCTGACAGTCCCTCATTCGGCGAAAGCGAAGGAAAGGATTACAGCGTCCGTGAAATCCGAGAGTTATCATTGAATTTGCGTAGGCGTCATCTGGACGGGACACCCCGTGTGGATCGACGAGGCGCACCCGGTCGCAAGGCTGCACCTGTGCACCCGATCTCGAGGTGGCTGGCCAAACTTGTGCACCCGATTTCAAGGTGGCTGCACCTGTCACCGTCTTGCACCCATCACCATATGTGGAATCCGTGCGTGCAGCTGTTTTTACGAGCGTCAAATTTAAGGAAAGAAAAAGTACAGCGTGATGGATACGCACGGAATGACAGGACGGAATTCCGTATGACAACCTCCTTTCTTTGCCTTCGCAAACACCGTCATTTCATCGTCTTACGGCTATGACGTTTAAAAAAAGAAAAAATAACAGGAAGGCTGACGGAGAAGAATGTGTGATGAGGATGGAGGTCGTTGGCCTTCAAGACTGGAAAAGGAAGGGTGTAGGCCGACCCAACGGGTCCTCCGCTCTTTTATCACGATAAATACCTGTCCTGTTATATCCTTTACCCCACATCCATCCCGCTAGACGCTTTCCACGGGAATGACGCGACCGCGTCGACCGATGACCGATGACATCACACGGGGAACTCGCCCTCTCATTGGCCCTCGGACGCCGCGCTCCATCGGTTCCTCCGTTCCGATTGGCCGCCGAAATTGCGACTCGGACGGCTGCGTTGTCATTCCGAGGAAAGCAATTCTCTGTTCGTCCGTCGAGAAAAAAAAATTTTGCACACCTCGTGCCGATCGTATCTCGAAGATTCGACCAACCGACGCGGGAAGGACATCCGGTGGTATACAAATATGATATGTATCAATATATAATTTGGATTTCCATCGTCGTTGAATGCAAAATTGTGGAATGCTGAACGTGACCTTCGAGAGCAAAAATGCGCATGAAGAGAATTTCCCGGTCTTAACTTAGCCCTTCTGGAATCTGCATTTGAGCTACTCATGATAATCATGATTTTTGATGAGCGATGCTGATTACAGTACATTTGATTCGTGGGAATTGCACATTTGCATGTCATGCTGAGAGCTGCAAGGGACAAAAAAATAAGCAGAATCACATGAGTCTATCGAAGGCGAACTCTGAGCACGAAGGGCTGGTTATTGACCGTGAAATTCCAAAGCGGCTCCACGGTCATTTTCACTGGTTTTGCTTTCGAAGGTCACAAGCAAAGGACAAACATGCAATCGGGTACTCGTGAAATTTCAAGGACAAACGGGAAAAAAACTGACGCTCGCGTCCATCTCTCGGATCGACGCTCGCGAGCTCGACACCCGTGCGATCGACACCGATCGACCCCCAAAAAACGAAAAAATATTTCTCACCGGCCGCGAAAGGCGGGAAGAAGAGGAGGAAGGAAAGAGCGAAGCGGGAGAACGGCATGGCGAAGGCCCGACACTGTCCCGTCGCGGTCGCGGACTGGGAGAAGAAAGAAAGCGAGAGTTGGGGAGAAACCCCCAAGGGGAAATTCTTCGGTTCATCATCCCCTTCGTCTTCGTCTTCTTCTTCCCCCTCCTCCGCGGCTTCGTTTCGGCGCAAGGTCGAGTCACGCGTAACAAACATCGCTGTTTATTCCGAACCGGGATCGAGAAACTTAACAACAACACGAGGGGAAGAAATGCCGAATTTCCGAATTTTCATAACCTTCGTCGCCCCCAGAGACTGTTGAGGTAACTGAGGGTGTCCCTGGCGTGATACTGAAAGTCGAACATGTTCGACAGGAAATTTTGGACTCGCTCGAGGAAAGTGTTTTGGAAGGGCCAGATGGCGAGGGACGTCCGCTCCATCGGGACCATCGTCATCGTGAGAGTCCTCTCCAGCCAACTATCGGCCTCTTCTCGTAGTTTGTCCTTGTCCTCGTCTTTGTCTCGCTCCCGGGATCGCCTCGGCCCGCCCAGTTCCTCTTTCGCGTTCGTCGTCGTCGTCGTCGTCGTCGTCGCGTTCCCGGTTTTCACGGTTCCGTCTTCGTCCGGCGTCGTCGCGTTTCTGTCCGACCGGCGCAACACTCCGCCTAAGGGGTCACAAGTTTCTCGAGTCAGGGCTCCCATCCGGACTCGGTACGAGAAAGTACCCGCAGCCGAATCGATTACGAATTCCTGCTTTTTTTTTCCTGTCGACGAGATCCGATAACCCTTGGGGTTTCGCGTCGGAAGATGTTTATTCGACTAGGTGTGGCATTTCCTCTAAGCAAAAACAGCGAGTCGGGCGGTGAAAGGCAAGAGCGAAGGCATGCATCGAATCCCCACGGCCATAAGGAAACGCCATCTCGAGCAAATATTGAAGATCCGGCCTCGGAGAAAATGGCGAGTGAGAGGAAGGAAGAGAGAGCAGGGAGAGCAGAGAGAGAAAGGGAAAGCGGCGAGAACGGAAGATCGAAGGAAGACCTTGGCAATGCGAAGGTGAACGGATGGAGGGACGATAGCGGGGGGGGGGGGGGGGGGGGGGGGGGGGGGGGGGG